CTTTCGGTTCTGACAGGAGGGTTTCGGCTCCTAAGGGGAGTTTCGGCTCCTAAGAGGAGTTTCTATTCGTTAGAGGACTTTCTGTTCCTAAGAGGACTTTCGGTTCTATAAGGTTGTTTTTCGAGAAATCTTACCGTTTTGCGTGATTTTTGACCAAGTTAAGGGTCGGGATGACCCGGATGACCAGAAAAAGTTTGAGAGAGATTTTGGGAGAGATTTCACATACTTGGAGAGATTTCGCATTTTTGGAGAGATTTGGGAGAGATTTCACATATTTGGGAGAGATTTCACATACTTGGAGAGATTTCACATTTTTGGAGAGATTTGGGAGAGATTTCACATACTTGGAGAGATTTAGGAGAGATTTCACATACTTGGAGAGATTTGGGAGAGATTTCACATACTTGGAGAGATTTGGGAGGGATTTCACATACTTGGAGAGATTTCACATTCTTGGAGAGATTTGGGAGAGATTTCACATACTTGGAGAGATTTGGGAGAGATTTCACATACTTGGAGAGATTTGGGAGAGATTTAACCTTAGCCATTATTATCACATAATCTCGCAAATGCAAGGTTCGTGAACCCCGTTACGCTTCGTTAATGATCGTTTTAAGTCCTCGAAAGGGTCCTTAGCCGTGCTTTGATGCGTTTAACCCCCTTTTTATGGTTTTTACATTGTTAACACTTAGATTCTTCAAGACTCTTGAATTTTTGACATACAATTGCACATTTTTATACATAGAATAACTTTTAACATACAAGTACTAGTTAAGTTTGACCGGTTTGACTTGTTGACTTTGACTTTGACTTTGACTTTGACTTGAATTTGACGGTTGTCACAAACATTGTCTCCATCTCGGAGATCCAGCCCATAACTTCCACCGGTGAAGGGCTTCCAGAAAGACTCGGGGGTTTGGATGCCATGAAATCCTTGTACTTGCATCCACGTCCGTCATTTCCTCCATCCTGATTGTTTCGTCTAACTATCGGCATCGTAAGTTCCTCTCGATTTTGTTGAAGTAAACGCCTTGTTTCCTCCATTTGACGATCCAACATCATTTGGATCATCGCTTGTACCCCGACCATTGTCATTGGCTCATGTGCGGTTACTACAACAGGTAATTGTTCAATCAATGGGGGTTGTTGATTCCTATTTCCATTCGCATTCCCGTCTCCACTTCGGGTTCTTGCCATTTCGATCTATACACCAAATTAGACGGTTAGTGTGTAATGACGAGAATTAAGATATGAAAGATTTTATCTATGATTGACGTATAAATCCCCTTATCTCTCCGAAAAGTTTTATGTCAGTTCTAATACCGTAATTAAACGTTTAGAAACCTGAACACATAAAGTTTCTAGATCCGGTCGACAATAGACCATAGATCCGATCATATAATGCATATCATAAATCATTTAGCACATAAAACCATGTTAGGCATTTTTCCCTAAATAAGCTAGTGTTTGTGTCTATTCAGGTGTATTACCTAAATTTATTAGACACATTCCTCACGATTATCGCTTATCATTCTAAGTTTAAGTCTAGAAATAAATCCTTATTCCTAGTTCGCTTAAACTAATGCTCTGATACCAACTGTGACATCCCCATTTTCACGGCCAGAAAAAACCGATTTTGTTTATGCTTTATAAAAACCAGAGTACCTCTTTTAATAAAAATGTTTCGGAATTTGTTCCCAGTAAAACATGATAAATACGTTATCAAGGCATCTCCGAAGAAAAGTATTTTTATTCATTTTAAAACATTTGGGATGTCATCGTCAATACAGAAACATAAACATAAACAGAACTTACATTCATTATCACTAGTGATTTATATCTCCTTAATCTCTCAGTGTAATGTGACTTCATATCAACACCTTTGATATAAATAAACTGAGTGGGTCAAGTTGGGAAACCTGGTGAGTACATAGGGTTTTCAACCCACAATAATATAATTATTATGTTTAATCTTCAAACAATTAATCAACCTAATTACCCATCCCCATTATCTTCTTTGCTCTTAAGGATCTACCTTAAGAATCAGTTATTCCTCGTTCATTTATTCCTAAGGATTATCCTAATAAATAGGTACGAAGTCCATCGTTACCAAGGTTTATAGATTACAACTGGTGAACACGTAGTCCAAAACATCTGGTGAACACTTAGTTCAAAAATAACTAGTGAACACACTTAGTTCAAAAATACCTAGTGAACACACTCAGTTCAAAATACCTAATGAGCACCTAGTTCAAAAACACCTACAGGTTACGAGCCTGCTAGCGTTCTACTGGACTGTCAAGTATAGTCTGTGGTCGTCATCTATACTCCACTAGATGACTGGATCACTGTCAACATTGATGTCTTTCATCGTGTTATCACACAGCAACTATTTCATCTACCCGTGTTTTACCCAACACATTTTGTAGATATAAAATACATATACAGTTTAAATTATTTAAAACATGTATAAAAATCTTTCACCTAGCATAGACAGCAAGTATTCAGACAATATGCACACATAGCACGTAATTTATATTAAAATACTTCATATCTATGTGTAAGATAAAAAGGATTATGCACTCACTTGAAAAGGTGGTGACTCGACACTCGGACGGCATTTCGTTTACTTTAAACAACTCCTTTGACAGAACCTAGTATCATTACCACTAGAGTTTAGTCTAATGTTCGACGAGACTAATTAATAGTCTAACTATTATTACTATTATATAAGCGTTAACACAATACTTTTCACCCACTATGTACAGGGGCCAGACATGGAACACCGGAGGGCAGGATCATTTTGGCATATAGCACTTCTGAAATCCAGTAACTCAAGCGGACCTCCAAACCAGATTCTCCGTACCGCGAGTGGTTAAAAAGATATTATAACGACACTTATATAACTCATAATAATAGCCCAAATATTTATTATAAGGTCCTAATAACATTACTATATTTAAATAAAAACTATATTTAAAATAGCGTAGGCGTATCTTACCTACGAGGGAGTTTGGCTAGAAGTCGGGCTCTGCAGGGGCAGAACTTCCGAGCCGAAAGCTCTTCTTCTCGGAGCCGTCGAGCGCTCTGGGGCTTTCTTCTAGCGCTAGGGGAGTTTTGGGGGGTTTAGAGAGAGTGTAGAGAGAAGAAAGAATGGGAAAGGTGTGAAGAAAATGAGGTTGGGAGATGTTCTATTTATAGGGTGAAATATGGCTGAACTTGGTGCCACATGTCACCATCTGGTGGCAAGACTTGGGAGAAAGCAATGGCCAAGATTGTGCCACGTCACCCATTTTCGCACAATACACTTCCGACTTCTAAAATCCGTAACTTTCGCATACGAGCTCCGTTTTTTACGTTCTTTATATCCACACGTAGGTAAAAATAAGATCTACAACTTTGATTCTGACTCCGTCGGCTAATTTTTTGACCGATCTTAAATTTAACAGTAGGAGGAGATTATACAGTTAAATGTCCGCGTAAAATTCATAACTTCTACATACAGACACCGTTTTCATCTGTCTTTTTACCGTTGAGTTCCTATTAATGAGATATTCAACTCTCATTTAGGTCGCGTAGGCCAAAAACAGCTCGATCTAAAATTCGAGTTTCGGGTCGGGCACTGCTATGCCAAATCTTAGAAAATTCATAACTTCCTCATACGAAGTCAGATTTGGGCGTTCTTTTTTTGTATGTTCTCGGTTTAACGTATACTACAACTTTTGTTTAGATCACTAAGGCCAAAAAGTCCTCTATCGTAAATTCACTATTTACATCTCCCGGTGTCATGCCGGTTTTGCCGTAAAACTTCGACGGGCCATAACTTTTTCGTTATAACTCGGATTTCGGCGTTCTTTATATGTACGGAGCCCTTGTAACATATACTAACACTTGGTTAAGATTACTCCTTCTAAATATTATTCCATCAAAACTCATTTTTGATGTTTATTGTCTCTAAATTGACTAGCCCGGATCTACGGGCGTTACAGGTTTTGAGCATTCTAACACTTTTATGGCGTACATGCAACCCTAGAAACCTTGGATCTATGTTTTCTCTAAGATACATGCAAATAATAATTTTCCAAGGTTTACATCCTAACTAGCATGTTATGGGGGTACTTGAATCATAAAACCCTAGTAGAATTACATACCTTTTAGTAGTGGTTGATTGCTTGGAGTTTGAGAGCCTAGCACCAATAATGTGGATGCCTCAAATGGAAGTCATAAATCACCACAAACTTTGGACGCTTGAGAGAATAGTAACACACTACTAGAAATCGGCCACCCTTTAGTTCTCACACAAACTAGTGTCATTTCAAGTGCCAATGACTCCTTTATATAGTGTGGTGGATTAGGGTTACATTCATGTAAACCCTAATACCCATGACCTTTCATTTCCATGAGATCAATGGATTAAAGCTCCATGGACTTTCCACTACTAGAAAAACAGCCTTTTACGGCGTGCAATGCGTATCGTAAAACGCTCAGACGACGCGCAAATACGTGTCAAGGAGGACCCTGTCATAACGAGAGACGACACGCTTTTGCGCGTCGTCTATAGACGACGCGCATTTACGACACGCAATGTGTATCAAGGAAGGCCCTGTCATAAAGGAAGACGACACGCATTTGCATGTCGTAACCTTACGACACGCATTTACGACTCGCATTGCGTATCATTAAAGCCCCTGTCAAGAAAGGCCATGTCATAAATGAAGATGACAGACATTTTTGCGTATCGTAATTTTATATGTTTAAAAAAAATATTATTTATAGATCTACTAATTTTCTAATTAAATTTGCATTTAATGTCTCATAATAAATAAAATATCATATACAAAAATACAATCCATTGCATAAAATTTAATGTCATACAAATAATCGTTCAATGGAAAGATAAAACAAATCAATAAAAATTGTAACAAAAATTTACAAACTAATTAGATACAAGAAATATGAAAAACTTGAAATCCCTAAGATTAATAGTTCTAACAGAAGCTTCACGTGAGATACATACAGTTGGACCAGAAAGCAAGGATGTTCCCAAATCCATAATAGCAGCACAAGAACACGTACACGCTATCTTCTGCAAGAAGGTGCCGGTCCAAAACTACTGTTGAAGGTTGCCATGATAGCTGTTAAGATTTAAGCATAACAAGAAACCAATCAGTGACTATAATAAGCTAGAAAACAAGCAACTAATAAACAAAATAAGCAACTAATTAAGTAAAACTATGACTATGTATTGTTCATACAAGAAAAAGAAGGAAAAAAAATGTTGATTTATTGTTGTTCATACAACACTCTCCAGACAACACTTAATTGAAGAAAAGAATAAGGCTAAACTTACAAGAAAAATAAGGAAAAAATAGTTTTGAGTGTAAATTTCAAGATAAAGTCACCTGCACCCCAGTATAAATTTCAACAAACAACTTTTGAATGACAAAGATCAGGTACCTCTTGATTAGCACGTGCATGGTCTCACATTGGAAATAATAACAAATTCACTGCTCCACCCATAAACACCAACAGCTTGAACATTTTTCAGTTGCAACTCTACCCCCTGAAAGTAATGTAATAAAATGACTATTAATTTATGTCGGATAAGAATAAAGTTGAAGTTCACCCCATTTAATGAAAGAATATGCATACAAACTGGCAGCAAACAAGTAAATAAATGAAGAAAGTAGAAGTATATGTGAGCATGGACATGGATGGTGCTTGCAAGTTCAGGGTGGCCTTGCCTTGTCCAGATATCTGTTCAACTTCATCTATCAATCATCATATGAATATGAAGAAAAAAAATGTATGAAATTCACTCATTGAGTTTAAAGAGGAAAGTAAGATATGTTACCCCAAATCTCAAAGGTTTTATTCTAAAGGGTGACAAGCCCAGTGAAAAGCCTGACAGCATAATCAACAATCTCCTCTGTTTCATATTCTGCAAATGCAAAGCCTTTTGGTTTATCAGTTTCTTTATCTCGAGGAATGTGCAAATCAACTACACGACCAGCTTGAATAAGTATATCGTATAAAAGCCTATCGCTTACTCGCTCATCCAAATTACCTGTATAAAAAATAAAAATAAAAACATCAGTTATTACTAAATAATGACATAATTAGGGAGCTTTAACCGACCAACAATCATATTTCAACCAAAAGTATAAAGAGTTATAGAAAAAAAGGGAACCAGATCATGTCATAGAACAAGAATTCAGGAAGAAGACAAGTTTGAAAGCATACAGAATAACGTTTAGCCAAGCAAGTGTGATCTACCTGTAAACTTGAAAACGCAAAACTCTGATTCTCAATCATACATTTCAGAATTTTACATGCTCCGAAGATTTTTAAGAAACTGAATTTCCAGTCCAAAAATCAATCAACCAAAATTAATTGTAATACAAACAATTACGCTAATAATCCCGATTGTTGGGACTGGTATTTAGAATCCCACACAAAATGCAATCAAATGACTCGACTAATCGTCGAAATGTAGCAACTGTATTAAGGTAGATTTGAAAGTTACCAATATAAACAGTGCTTTTTGTTATCTAATCAAGCTTATTCTTTACCACCTCCACACTCAATCTCCAGCTCTGCCTTTTTCATAGCAGGTGCTAGCTTATTCTTTACCACCTCCACACATATACCAAGACCAGTAACCTGAAAATAGATAAATTTCCTTTTATTATTATCATTATCATTATAATTATAATAAAACAATTATTATTATTTTAAACCTTTTCCTGAGTCTTGAGCAATCCTTTTCTAGCAATTCTCAATGTCTATCCCTATCAACTATGCACGATTAATCAATTTCCTTTGGATGTAATAAGAAAAGAAAGAAAATGAACTAAACTTTGCTAGACCACCAACTTCCTGTGTACAGACTCCATTCCATTTGTCTTGATGGCTTACCTGCAACCACTTTATTCTCCATTAAGAAGGCTTAAAACTTGAATTTCCAAGTAACAAGGATTTAAATATAACAAAAACAATCAATTAACATGAAATATAAAGCTGTTTTGTGTACTAAATGGCTAAATGCATCATGTTTTTGCTACCACTTGTGGGGTTAATCATTCAGTTCATAACAATCCACAAAAGACAGTGTTTACTTTTTGTTTGTTTTTTTTTACTTTAACTTAGCCCACAATTTCAAATAAGAAAGTTGCATGAGTTTGATACATGAAAAAACTTGTAAACTAAACCACTCATTGCATACCTTATTTGCATTTTCCCTTAAAGAGGCTTGAGGAGACTCGGAGCATTTTACCACAGCATCTATATTTTCAGTAAAGTAAGAGGTGACAATGGAAAAAGGTTCATCATTTTTCTTCCTCAATATCGCCTCAAGCACACATATGGCTTTCACATGGACCTAAAAGAACAATGAAGCAAGATATGACTTGTTTTTAGATCTTGACCCCAAGATCCATATGCATTTGTTGATGACCTAGAAGAAAGTGCAGCTTGACTAGAAAGTTCTTTGCTATCAGAGTAACTCGATTCATTAGTCAATGATCTTCTCATATTAGGGCCCCTGTAAGCTCCTGTGTCATTTTTATTATGAGTTTGAGCTTGTGATAAGCTATTTAACCCTTGCTTGATTGTTGCACTTCCAATGCCAACCATATCACTAAGAAACGACTTCTTATCATCAGATGGAACGTCAAAGTTTGTGTTTCCAAACCCTTGTATACGTTGTGTAAGACCTTCTTGTGGTGGTGGTGGTTTACTGTTGTCTTCTCTAGAAAATATAGCTGATAAAGCTTCTTGAGCAGTTTCTCTTACAGACTTATTAAGGGCATCACCCTTCAATGGATCCGGTTGTCCCTTGTAGTGAATTAGCTGACGAACAGCTACCGAGTTCCTTTGCATTTCCCTCCTAAATTCCACACCGGACTTCCCCACAGCATACTTAATCACTCTTAAAACCTACATATACAAATCATCAAATCGCATGTTGTTAGAGATTACCCTTTGTTGGACTATCAAAGTCCCAATAACTGCCCTTTGTTGGGGCATTGGACACTTGAGCAGTCTGGACAGTTAGAGGGGCAACAGGAGGTGTGAGGTGAACAATATGTCGGACTATCAAAGTCCCAATAACTACCCTCAGAATCGTAAATCATAATAACAAGTAACAGACCTTGTAGGAGGCAATGCAGAGGTCTGGCCAGATGGCCTAACATGATAAGCACCATCCATTGTGATATAAGTTGAACAATATGTTGCCCCTAAAGCTCCTGCAGCACCTAAAGACCCAGCAGCACCAGCCAAAACAGGTAGCCTACAACAAAATTTCACAATTTTATCCATTTACTCACCTAACTATTATTATCTTAAATATTTATTTATTTATATACATTTAAAGTACCATGTCATTTCTGAATTCCCATTCCATTGGGCTGAGTAACATAGCCAGGGAACGCCATGCCAACAGCAGGAACTCCAAGCCCACCAGAAATTGCTGATTAGACACCATAAAAATTTAATATTTTTTTAATGACCAAATAGCCCTTGGGTTTACCTGGCAAAAACGTTGGAGCACCAGGGAAATTATGATCACATGGATCCCAATGACCACCATCTTATCATTAAACCATGCTCAGAGAAAGCTATCAACCCCTGCCATATATTTTTTTTTAAAAAAAAAATAATTGAAAACTTCTAGTGTTTCTGTTTCATCATGTATTAAAATAGCATGAACGGTTGTACCTCTCCATCAGGTGAAAAGCTCAAAACAGAAATTGCAGTATTTGCACTAAACAATGGGTTGGCTTCTATAGGAAAGCATCCTTCTCAAGCAACTTCAATACATCGTTCTGGTTGTTGAGTTTTGCCACATCAATATGTGTTTTCCCATCCATGTTTTGCAGAGTACTATATATCATAATAATAATAATAATAATAAATCAAAATCAAAATTAAAATAAAAAAGATTTAAAAATAATTGATTATATAAAAACTAAACTTACACGGCTGCACCGTTATCCAGCAAGAGGGATACACATTCTTTCCTGCCATAACCAGCTGCATAATGGAGGGCTGTGCTATTGTTTTTATCTAATGCATCCACTTTAGCTCCAGCTTCCACCAGAATTTGTGCACATTTCACCTACAAATTTACATATTTGCCCATCACCTCATATTAAATTGGCTTGTTTTTTATAGATAAAACCATTATGTGTTGAAAAATACCTCCCCGTATCCACAGGCAAAATGTAAGGTCTTTTATGAGATTAAACCTTATTTAACTTTGAAAAATCCACCCAATTATGCTAGTTAAAATTGTTTTGTGCTATAGAAAGAAATGAAATTAGTATATGCTAACATAATAAAATAAATAAATAAAAGTACGTTGCTATTTCTTGAATTTAACCTTATTGCAAACTTTTGGCTCATCTAATCATGTATTATGCTCACAATTCATAAAGAACAAATGAAACCAAACAAAAAACTAAAATACCTGATAAGCCTCCATTTTCCCTGTGCGAACTACTCCATGAAACACAACATATTGCATATCAGTCAAAGTGCAGATTATATCAAACAAAAGCTTTGGTCGATCCCTACACCTCATAGTAATAACCGTGTAATCCTTCTCAGCACAATCCAACACATTAACCTGTGGCCTCCATCTATTCTCCTTTTCTTCCTGTTCTACCCTTCCAACATTCTCATAATCCCTCTCAGCAAACATAATCTGATGCAATCGTCTCTCCCTATGCGTAAACCCCGGGGTCAAAAGCGTCATTTTACCAGTCTTCAAGTCATTGTTCCCCTTAAGAACATTACACAACAGTTTCTTAATAGTTGAGTCTTTTAGGATCTTCAACTGCATTTCTTGTTTTCTCATCTGTGACATGTACAACAGCTGCAACTCTTGCATTATGAGTCCATATTTCAGCATTGACTACATTACATCCAAGATTTGTGAGAACTGCAGATACTTCTGATAATAGTCCAGGTCTGTCTATTCCAGCTAGTTCTATTATTGTGTAATCTTCAGAAGGCTTTAATCCAACTGAACCAGTTAATAAAGAGACATAAAAAGCATCACTTTCAAGCACCTGTAATGAAAGAAACATTTCATAGTGAGCTTTTATTCCAAGGTCGGCGATTTGCATCCTTGCAACATTAACATTTCTTTTATTTCTTTTTCCTATGTATAAAAATCAATTGTCTGTATATAGAGTTCTCGATTCCAATATGATAAATCCATTATGATCTGTTTAATCAATTTTAACATTCAGTTTTATCCATTTTAATCAAATGACAAAATCACTTTTAACAGTAAAATTTTCACTTCATTCCAATCTGACTAGTTTGATTCAAAACTTAAAACACTTATTGATTAATCAAATGAACCAACTTAAAAAACTTATTCAGTAATCAAATGAAATCAAAAACTTATGAAAAGATTGAAAAACATGTAATCGGCTAATTATCACATTATGAACCAGATGAATCTGAATACTTATTAATCAGATGAATCAGAAAATTTATTTATCAGATGAATTAGCAATATTACCAATATGTCCTTAAAAAAAGATGAATAAAAAACTTATTAATCAGATGAAACAAATGTAATCAACAATATAATCAAACATTTAAGATGCTTTGTTCTTAACCCCTAATGACTAATCAGACGAAATCAGTAATAACTAAAGTAGTGCCCACCGGAAAAGTAGCGCCGAACGGCGACCTGCAATGAAGGAGCAGCGACCAGAGATGGAAGAGCGGATTCTTGATAGCCGATTAGGAAGAAGGTCGTTTCATCATATAACTTTTTTAATTAACAAAAGGGTATAATTAGAAAATCAAAACTTAAATTCTTTTGGGGTTAAAATGTTTACTAGACATGTGAAGCAGAAAAGAACAGAAGATGAAGTTTTACCTTCTCGGGTGCTATTTCTTTATTTGATTCCTTTGGGGTGTAGAAAGAACTTGACCCAACATTGAAATACCTTTCTCTTTAATAATTTCTTTGAAGATGACTATTGTTTAGGGCTATCAGCAGCATCATCGTCCCTACTACCACTCTGTAATAAACAAAGCGCCTTTGAAGGCCCTACATCATCTTGCACTGCCCTTACTTCCTCCAGTGACAATTTCGAACTCGACGGGGAAAGGAAATGAGTCGCCAAAGAGAAACCCTAAATCGCATATCTTTATAGTTGTACGCGAGTGATGGGCCTATGTACACGTGAAGGCACTGGTGAGGGATGGAGGAGGTGGCGGGTCAGAAATTAGGGCTTCTTGGAGAGACGTTTTGAATCACATCCTAGAAGTCGTCTACATATTCGGAATTATGTTTCACCCCATTAAGTCGTTGTCTTCTTCTTTGATCACGAAAGCAAGAGCAATTCTGCTACGAAGACGAAAGCCCTAGGGCTTTTTCTTGCTAATTGGAAGAGGCGGGGGGTTTAATTTTTGGGATTCAATAGGTGGGTGAAATCCCGCCTTAAAAACGCGTGTTTCATTAAAAATTATAAAGCCACACATTTAGATGACACACATTTTATGAAAGGTGCCCTCCGCAGTTCTTTTTTTTTCTTTTCTGACACTAATTGTAGGGCACGCACAAATACGTGTCCTCTATCCTTCAAATTTTGCAAAACTGACATTATTTTTTAGGGCACGCACACATGCACGTCCTCTACCAGCGCGTGTCATTGTTTGCGCGTCATTAAAGGGCTGTTTTCTAGTAGTGTTTCATGCAAGCCTAGCCCATTCTAAATAAGCAATAGCCCACACTATATAATTACAAGAGCCCATATTTAATTAGTCACCTTTTTTATCACCAAATTAATTCTAAATTAATTCTAGATCAATACTAATTAAATAATATGATTTCATATTAATATATTAGAACTTATAATATATTAATAAATCATAAACATACTATTCTCAAAAGATTATCCATAAATTGTTCGGATGAAGTGCAAACCAAATGGACCATGCCGGGTCGGGTCAAGTACATCTCAAATATAGTTATGGACTTAGACACCTTATCCAACACAGGCCTCCATGGAATTCTTTTTTTACTAGATAATCAACTCATCAACTGAACAATCGTCATTTGTAGAGTTTATAATCTGATTCAATAGGGTAATCAATAGAGTTTATAATCTGATTCACCTTTCATCCCGATTCCATTTGCGAGACCTTTTTTTTTTCTTTGCGAATTCTTTTTTCTACCTGAACTAACATCCAATATTGCTTTAAACGTAAACATCTATTTTGAAAAAAAAAAAAAAAACTTCTGACGACAACAATTCTTGGGTGATGACCAAAATATATTCCAATTAATAATCTAATAAATGAAACAACAATATCATGCTCCACGTTTGTGTTGGTCAATTACATTAGAAATTCAAAATTCAAACTCTATTATCTATATATAACTGACATATAACATCAAAAATATATAATTACACTCTATTATCATAAACATACTATTCTCAAAAGATTATCCATAAATTGTTCAGGTGAAGTGCAAACCAAATTGACCATGCCAGGTCGGGTCAAGTACATCTCAAATGTAGTTATGGACTTAGACACTTTATCCAATACAGACCTCCACGGAATTCTTTTTTTTCTAGATAATCAACTCATCAACTGAACAATCGTCATCTGTAGATACTTCATCGTCTTCAATTTCAATAGGGTAATCAATAGAGTTTATAATCTGATTCACCTTTCCTCCCGATTCTATTTGTGAGACCTTCTTTTTTTCTTTGCGAATTAAACTTTTTTCTACCTGAACTAGCATCCAATATTGCTTTAAACGCAAACATCTATTTTGAAAAAAAATAAAAAAAAAACTTCTGACGACAACAATTCTTGGGTGATGACCAAAATATATTCCAATTGATAATCTAATAAATGAAATAATAATATCATGCTCCACGTTTGTGTTGGTCAGTTACATTAGGAATTCAAAATTCAAATTCTATTATCTATATATAACTAACGTATAACATCAAAAATATGTAATTACACTGTTGCCCTTTTAAATATATTTACAACTTTAAATAATTCAAAATTAATATCAATTAAAATATCCATGTGTCCCCCTCTCATTGGTTCTCGCATTTTCGCAACTTATATATAATTTCGCATGAAGCTACTTATATATATATATATATATATATATATATATATATATATATATATATATATATAGAGAGAGAGAGAGAGAGAGAGAGAGAGTTATGTTCAAATGTGAACACTAAATAAAGTGAGAACGTGAGAACACCATTTATATGTTATTATTCTTCTTTGAATTTAATATGTATTGTATTGTAGTAATTACAATGTGACTATATTCAATTTTATATTGCTATTCTACTATAAAATTTATCTATATATGTAGTAATTTCGTAAATTTAATGTGAATGTTAATATGTGATTGTTCGTATATTCGTTGATGAATAATGTCATAACGTTGAACATACAAAATTTTTTGTGAATATTAATGTGTGATTGTTTCATATATTTGGGTGATGAATAATGTCATAACGATATATATATATATATATATATTATATATATATCTATATATATATATATATATATATATATCTTATATCAATTCATAGCAGAATAATAACATAAAGTAGTGTTCTCACGTTCTCACTTTATTTAGGGTTCTCATTTGAACTTAACCCTATATATATATATATATAGATATATATATATCTATATATATATGGAGAAAAGTGATATCCTTAAGGGTATATAAACTTAGGTACTCAAACTCACCATACTCCGTTTTGTATCATATATATACATTGTAATTGTCCAATGTTCTTATAATTCAACTTCTAACTTGATTTACTTCCACGATTTTTATAAATTTCACATTTATCTTCCTCTTACATAATTTTCATTTTCAACTATAATATATATAGCCTAGTAGGTGTTCGACAAAAAGATGTGATGTAAGAGGAATATAATAGTGACATTTTGAAATCTTGAAAGTAAATCAAGTTAGGGGTTGAAGTTTAAGAACATTATAATGAATATATTAAACAAAATGATGTATTATAGTGAGTTTGGATACCTAAGCTTATATACCCTTAAGGGTATATTCACTATATATATATATATATATATATATATATATATATATATATATATATTGTTGGATAAGGTGTCTAAGTCCATAACTTATTTGGTATATACTTGACCCGACCCGGCATGGTCCATTTGGGTTGCACTTCACCCGAACTAGTTATGGATAATTTTATGAGAGTTGTATACTTACGATTTATTAATATATTATAAGTTATAATATATTAATATAAAGTCATGTTACTTAATTAGTTTTAATCTTGAATTAATTATGAATTAATTTAGTGATTAAAAGGAAGACTAATTAAATCATGGGCTATTATATTTATATGGTGTGGGCTAACACTCATTTGGAATGGGCTAAGCTTATATGAAAGTCCATGGATGATCCATGGAGCTTTTACCCATGGATCCTTGGAAGAGGAAAAGACATGGGTTATTAGGGTTTCACCCTAACCATGTACACTATATAAACAAGCTTATGTTGCATGAAAAAGACACTAATGTGTGTGTAAGTGTGGTGGCCAAAATCAAGAATTAGTATACTCTCTCATACATCTTTTCCAAGTTTGTGGTGATTTGTGATTCCCATTTGAGGCATTCACATTATTGGTGCTTGGC